GCTAACAGGCAACGCAAGCGCGCGACCAGGGGCGTTTCACGCCCGAGCGCGCGACCTCGCCTGCACACCCTAAACCCCAAACCCTAAACCCCAAACCCTAAACCCTAAACCCCAAACCTTAAACCCCACACCCCGGCCCCAAACCCTTAACCCAAACCCTAAACCCTAAACCCCACACCCCAAACCCTAAACCCTAAACCCTGAACCCTGAATCCTAAACCCTAAACCCTAAACCCTAGGGTTCCCTCCCATGGTTGAGGCTCCTGGGCTTCAAAAGCGCAGGAGCCATGCAGCACCTACGTTCCATCATCGGGCAGTGGGTCGTCTGCTTTGGGACTGCAGGTGGCATAGGGTACAAGGCCTTTCAAGTATTTATGAATCAGGGAATGCTTGCATGGTGCTTCTTGGAAGTACATGCCTGAGAACAATGCCGCAACTGGTAAATTAAAAGAGGCCCCAACGCTGCAAATTTCATCAGGTTTTGTCATGAAAGCTCTTCTAAATAAGAGAAGCCTCACTGCCCCAAACCCTAAACCCTAAACCCTAAACTTTTCCAATAAGCCCCCCCTGCCAGTTGCTAATCTCTGTCTTGCAGCTATGCAGAAGATGGGAACAACGCTGTTTGTGGCTTTGGGACATTGCAAGCACTGTAACGCTTTCCGGCTTTCCGGCTGTAAAGGAACCTTGAACAGGCAGGGATGCAGGGAGTAGGGTTTAGGGCTTAGGGCTTAGGGTTTAAGGTCTATAGAGCGCATAGCAAAGTCTCAGATCATTGCGAGAGTTAACTCGGCCCTCACTACCCCGATGAGCCCCTTGATAACACGCTTGCCAAGTTCTCAGAAATGGGAATTTCCGGGGAACTGCTCGGCGCCCACATTCAGGATTGCATCGTGATAGCTCTTAGAAGCTCGTAAAACATCAAGGACCCAACCATACAGCTTAAGCCTTCAGCCCAACATCCTAACTCCTCAGCCCAAAACTTAAGCCTTCACATGTCAAGTCTCGAAATCTAAGCCTTGCTGACTTAAACACCAAATCCTAGATATCCCCATGTATCCCTATAAGGCCCTACTTTGGATCCAGGAAATCTTGCACCATCCTATGTAGCCCCAATAAAGGTAAGTACAATACTTTGGGGATACCAAGGGGTGCAAGATTTCCTCCATCTACCGTATGTCTCCCTATACATGGTAGTTTCCCTACATAGGGGGACCCCAATATAGACCCCACAAATCTTATAATCCTTGTTCTGGGGATTTGTTTGTAAAAAGGTCCCCCCACAACCCTAAACCCTAAACCCTGTATACCTAACACTCCCTGCAGCCACCTCAGCCCACCATGGAGGCTGGGACCGAGCTGCGCTGGGAAGTGTGAACTTGCCTTGCAGGGGGAAGTTTAGGGTTTAGGGTTTGGGGTTTAGGGTTTAGGGAGCGTCTGTCATGGACGGCTTGAAAGTCGGGATTTGGTGGTTTCCAACATTGGAAGTGTTGTTTGGGTTGCGTGGGGGGGAATTTTGTATGAGACGGGTTGTAGCATATTGAGGTGTACGTTGGGCCCCTGTTTATGAAACCCTAAACCCTAAACCGCATTTAGGGATTAGGCTGCTTTCTAGTGTCTGGGGCTTAGAGTTTGGGGGGGTCTAAGACTTAGGCTCAGGTTTCAAGGGCTTGTTTTGGAATGAGAGCACTAAGTTGGCAACTACAACTCAGGGTGGCAAAGAAGCCGCCCTCAAACCCGGAAGCGCTAAAGCTACAGGAAGTTTCACAGAGGGTTCCTGGAGAAAAATGAAACCAGATTCTATGCCGCCGACAATGAGCATCACAATAGTTTAGGTACATACCTCAAGTGGCGCAAGATGTCTTCCCTACACCCGAACCTGCATAAGAGGTCACCCAGCTCCCGAAGCCAAAGGACCCAAAAGCCGATGACGCCTTTACCCGAGGATCTAAGTACCAAATAAGCCCCTTTTAAAGGGTTCTAGGCATATGAACGGATATCTAATTAGAGGGACATGGAGGTAAACAGGTTCATATGGCTCTAGGCCCTACTTATGCACCTACTATGTGATTTCATTACCAGCAAAGGGACCGGGGAATCTCCCTGAAAACTCGGGTTATGGGTTTTGGGTTGAGGATTTAGGGCAAGGACCCATACTGAGAACGTCAAACATCTTGAACCATGGATCCCATGAGATGAAATTCTAAGCCCTAAATCCTAACCCCCAAATAACTTAGGGTTTAGGGTTTAGGGGTCCCCAAACCCTACTCCTAAGTTGTCACTTCCAGGCGACCAGCTCCTAGTATTGCAAGAACCTAATGTGTGTAGGATCAGCTCCAGAATATCTACTTCAGGAATCATCCCAAGCATGCATGTACGGCAGGGGCCGAATTCATTACCGATACTATTTTTTGAAATAGCCTATATTGCTTATACCATAGATATACAGGGAATCTAGGACCAATATTCTGAAGTAGTTAATTCTCCCCATCAAGCCCCTATACAACCCGTCTCCCAGTTAATCTTCCATTTTGCTCTCCAATTGATACTCCACTATTGGGGCAATATATCGCCTTGACCCTAAACCCGAAATAGCAATTTCCATGTTCCAGTCCATTGTTTCCAAGTATCCTCCTATATCCCTCTACCTTGGAGTATTCAGCTTAAGGTTTCGGGTCTAGGGTGTACTACAGGGGCCTGAATAATCACCAATATCATTTTGAGGTCCGTTTGAGCTACCATATACGATAATTATACAAGGAATATGGAACCAGAATATTGGTAATGAAACCTAAACCCTAAACCCTAAACCCTAAACCTAATATTGGTAATTATTGAGGCCCGATATTACACCAAAACCTTAAACCCTAATCCTAATATTGCTAATTATTTTGGCCCCTATATTAGGGTTGGAGATCTATCCCCTGAAGCTTTAAGCCCTTTGGGTCTTTGTTGCCCAGGCACTGATGCGTTCCCAGCAATCCGCACTTTGCTGGAGCATGGTCTTAAACCTTGAAGCGCGGGACCCTTATGAGATACAAGCGTCGAGGGTTTAGGGTTTAGTGTTTAGGGTTTAGAGTTTGGGTGTAACTAGGGCCCTTAAGTAGATAGAATATGGGGTATACGGGGATCTTATCATAATAGCCAGCCATATTCTATCTACTTAAGGGGTACTATAGGGTTTAGGGCTTAGGGCCACAGTCAATATGTCCCCAGAAAATTACTGGACATGGGCTCCTTATTAAGGAATGTGTTAGGGACTATACGAGGCTACAAGGTGGACCCCTATGTCGTCAAGGGTCCCTTGATAAGGCTAATGTTGACAGTAATTAAATCTTATGGCCACCCCTCCATGACATTGTTTACTGTTTAGGGGTATCCAAGTAGCCCAAAGCGAGTACCCTTTTCTGAGCTCCAGGGCACGAAGCAGGTATCCTTTAGATAGACTCAGATCCCCAGGCTTGTGAACCGCTATCGGAAAGGAGCGCTACGTGGGAGACGACGCTAGCTAGAAGGTGGCTACTTCTGTACTTGTCTGTGCCGTACCCTATCTCCATTTTTGCTGATTTGAATATCTATGTCTGGGATGTACAAACGAGAGGTTCGAGGTATAACTTAAAGCGAAACTGAAGAGACCTTATTTCACTGTTCTATCCGCAAGCATCGAAACCTAAGCACCAAACCATACACTCTGGTCTTCAAGCCACATGCCTTAAATCCTAAACCACAAAATTAAACCAAAACCTTAAGGCCTAACCCGTCCCTGGTGTCTCTTGGGCGTTTTTTCCATGAGCAGGGGGTCAAAGAAATCTGCAAGCCAAAAATGTCCACCAAACCCGCACCTTAGATCCTGAATCCTCCAACCCTAACTCTCATAAACCCCAAGCCCTAAACCCTGCCCTAAACCCTAAAACCCTTAAACCCTACAGCCTTAAACCCTAAAAGCCTAAAGCTCTAAACCCTAAGCCCTAAACTCTAAACCCTGACCCGTGGGGCTTGAATCAAGAGGGCCGCAAAGGTCCGAAGGAACCTTCCTTCGTACCTTGGCGCCCCAAAGGCCACCTGCGAAGCCCCCAGCCTCCATCCATATGAGCTACTTGGAGGGTCAGGGGGACTTAGTAAGTTGGTCAACAATGGGGATAAGTAGGTTACTGTATGGGTTATGGGTGTTGTAAACCTACTTAGTAAGTCCCCCTGACCCTCCAAGTATACTCTACACTCCTAGCATCCTCCTGCATAACCCTGGGGTTTAGGGTTTAGAATTTAGGGTCCAAACTCTTAGTATCTCCTTAATGCCCCCTATATAACCCCCTAGTACATAACCCCCTTTAAGGACCTAAGATTATGGCTCATATGCAGCATAGGCATCCGTTCGTACACCGAACATTGTACTTTATTTAAGGGTGACCCAAGAACGCCAGATATTCTGAGGAGCACAACCCAAAATGCTTAGCCCTAGGCCCTGCACATCCCTAAACCCTCTCACTAGTGGGAGTAGCCCCCATTTTGGCCAGGCTTCCGCTCATGGTCGCCACCTGAATATAAAATGCAGCGATTGTTGGGTGATTTAGGGTTTGGTTGTAGGGCCTCTGCTGGCCCATTTTACCAGAACACGAAACTGGATAATAGCGAATATCCCTGAGACTCAAAATTGCCTAGTATTGAAATTACAGACTGGGCCCAACCGTAAGCATAATCTATAGACTTAGAGCCCTAGGGTATGCTAAGCGCATTGCGAGGGTTATGAGGCCAAGAGTAGATCGTTCAAGCCGATCACAGGGCTCTCTTAGGGCTTGTGGATTTCTAGGTGTCCTTGCAAGACACTCCAAATCATGGCAAATCGGCCCACTTATGTTTTCATTGCAAGCCTATATATGCTGATCCCAACCCCCTAAACCTTCCATGCAGCAGAGATTTCATCTGGCCCTAATCCAAAGCACGGTCATATCTACCTTCCTTACAATCCAGGATCCCTCATAACCACAACTCTGGAACATATTATTGCAGGCTATCCTCATATACGCCCCATATCATGCCTTGCATCCTCTTCGTGCAACTAAGTTGACCCAACGGGCTCAGAACACACGTAATTATGACACACGCCTTCGGTCGCAGCCGGCTTTTAAACATCGTTAAGAATATCTAGCAGCAAAGGTTTAGCGCGCAGTATATCCGTCAAGCCACTACTTGACCATGGCGTAGACTTCAAAAGGTAAACCTCAACTCTCAACCCTTGACTCCAAACCCTTGTCCAAAGAGCTTGCCACGAAGGTAAAGGTGTGGCCGACCTTTCCCGCGCGGGCTGTTCGGCCCACGCGATGGATGTACCTGGGATATCTATACCCTAAGGGTCCAAGGACCCAAATAATAGGGCTTTAGGGCCCAAATACTATAATATCAATGGTATTTGGGCCTTAAAGCCCCATTATTAGGGTACTTGGACCCTTAGGGTATAGTGCGTAGGAGCTCGGGGATTAAAGGTTTCGAGTGGGGGATCCAAGTGCCTGAAACGGATATTATTTGGCCGCAAGGGGCTCCTATATACACTCCTGGAAACTAACATGGAAACCCAAAAGGGGCCCTATAAAGACTACAGTCCCTCTAAAATGGGGCTATATGGGTTTCCTTGTTACTTTGGGGGAGTGTAGATACTCTGGGCCCAACGTATAGACTACTGCTGATACAAGAAATCCTGCATGACCTTCAATTACTATGGCACCAGTATTCCCGAGGTAGAAGGTACGTAGGGTTTGGACCCGTAGGCCGTAGGGACAGGGGTGAAAGTTTCTCGAACTATTCGACAATGTGGGAGCCCGAGGAGACATACGAGCTATAGTCTAAACTCCTAGTATCCCCCTTAATAAACTCCTATAGTAATATAATCACCTATATAACACCCTTTAAGGAGTTTAGACTACAGCTCATATGGAATAGACTGCGGCTTAACTAAGGTTTTTAAGGGTCTTATGAGGCAGCTTGGAAAGTTCATAGCTTCATTTGCAACTCCCGACTTGGATGTGGTAGTTTGCCGAAAATCGGATGCCCACCCCAAAATACTATAACCCAGTTGGGGCAACCCCAAACCCCAAATCCTGTAGAACCCTGTATAACCCCTATACATCCCTTCGAAGGCACCCCTAATTTCGGCGAGAAACCCTCACATCCAGATCTCGGGTGCGGGTGGAAAACCCGGGTCTCTTCACGAACGCGCAAAAAGAATAACTACAGTATAAATAAGGTTATATAAGGTTAGATAGGGACATATATTTCCTATGGAGGGATATGTATAAGCAAATACGTCCTAGCATCCAGAGTTGAGAATTCAGCGGCGGGGCGGAGTCATACCTGAAGTCTCCAGAAGTTTGATCCTGTTTTGTTACTTTTGGAGGAGGAGATCTAGATACGAATGTTCCAGATTTGCTCCATCGACCGCAGCGCAGGCAGCCTCAAGCCTAAAGCTTGTGACAAGTAGGGCTTAGACTGGATGGCTCCCAAGGAACTTAAACTAAGCTACTATGATAAGGAAACCCAATTAACTAATCATATACCCATATTATGGTAGCTTATTATAAGCCCCTTCAAAGCAACCCAAATTCTTCACGCATGCTTGACAGTTCATGGGAAACTCTCAGCGCAACTACAGGTATCATCACACCCTGAGTTTGGAAACCCTAACCCCTAAACCCTAGAGACCCTAAATCCTAAACCCTAAACCCTAAATCCTTTCCCCCTAAACCCTAGACCCTAGACCCTAGACCCTAAACCCTAAATCCTAAACCCTGAATCCTAAACCATAACCCTAAACCCTAAACACTAGACCCATGAGCCTCGTAAGTTGGTCCTCCAAAACTACATAGCCTTCAAGGCCTCATGTACGGCCCTAGGAACCTGGTAGTACAGAGGATTTTGGGGTTTATAGGGATTAGGGTTTATAGGGATTAGGGTTAAGGGGTTTATAGGGTGTAGAGTTTAGGGTTAGGGGTTTAGAATACGTATAGAGGGCCATGCAAAGCTGTGTCCACGAATGATCGGAAGGGGCCCAGCTAAGCCCCCGACTCCCAAGTGCCGAGTCGGAATAAGGGAGTGGATTACAGAAACTCCAGTCCGGAGGATATCTCACAACCCTACACCCTGGACTCCTACACCTCAGGACTTCGATATATAGGAATCCATCCCCTCTTTCCATGCTAAACACCAGGGAGTAAGTCCTCCCTGCCTCAACTCTAGTACTTTTAACTGCGAGAATGTTCATTCCATTTATTGGTTTCCAGTAACAGCTGTCCTTGCCTGTGTGGGGATTCCCCGGCACAAGGATTGTAAGGCCAAAGCCACAAAACCCTTAACACCAAACACTCAACCCTGCACCCCAGACCCTCAACCCTAAACCCTAATCTCTAAACCCCTAAACCCTAAA